AAAAAAAGAGAAAGAATATCAAGACTCTGAACCATATTATGGCAAAGAGCAGACTGGTGCAGCCTGAGGCAACTCGTGAAGGGTCCTGTTGGCACGCAGGCCACGTGCCAGAGGCTGTGCTGGTGTGCATGGCAGAGTCTGCACCTGCCTTCAATGGCTCTCTCGGGACGGCCTGGAGAATCTGAGAGGCGCTGACGACTGAAGGAGAGCCAGCAGTCGTGCGCCTCAGACACTTCTGCTGGGTAACCAAGGACAAGACAATTATCAGGACAGATCAGAGGATCCGAAATCTTAAGTTGACTGATACTTACTTAATGCTCAACTTAATTCAAGAATTCTTTAAGACTGGACTTGTGTTTTTTTAAATGAAAGATAGCTATCATGTGGATGTTTCACATAAAAGAAATTACTTGAATTATCTTCAAAAAATGTCATTAAGATAAGGCAGCTTTTTAGTACCAAGGTAAAGTAAATGTATCCGACAATTTAAATTCTTCATCCTTTAGTCCTTTAGTCGGTACAACCAACTGCGTAGAATAAGGCCCTGTGCGAGCAGTGCTGCTCCCAGAGAGAGGGGCGACGAGTGCCCGGTCAGCGGTGAGTGCCAAGTAAGGACCGCTGGAAAGGGAGGGTTTTCCTTGTCAGGCTAATGTGCTTGTCCCCACCTGTGCCATCGCTCTGAAAACTGGAGAAAAGCACAACCTACATCTCCCTGGGGGTGCCCTCCAGCTGGACAGTGAGCACCGTCCGCTCACATCAGGACGCCTGACAGACAGGACGGGAACCACCAACACGGTGAAGACGTGATCCCCACCTGCACAACATTAAAACACACGCTGAACAACCTGATGGTACTGGAAGTCACCCTGCGAGGCCAGAAGGGGACCAGAGGGGACCTAGATGTGCTGGGACAGCTGTTTCTTTGTCTGGTGCTAGTTCCACAAATGTGTCTGTTTTATGAAAATTCACTGAGCTGTACACTTATTTGCACACTCTTCTGTATCTTATACCTTAATAAAGCTACAAAACACATATCACTAAATCGGTCAAAACCAGCCTCTGATTATGCCTGAGGCCTCCCCAGCCCCATGGCAGTCAGGAGCCCTCACGGTGACAGTGACAGCACTCGCTTACCTGGATCACGACGCGGGGTGACTGGGAGAAGTACCACAGCGGGATGCCGAATAGGCTGATCAGCGCTGTCTTGGTCTCGTAGGTCTCAGCACAGCGAGTGCTCAAGATGCTGCCACCTGAGAGCAGAGGGGACGTTTGATATTGGGAGCAATGTCAGTACCCATCTTAGGGGCTGATTTGAAATTTTCTAAAAATTCCCAAGTTTTTAACTTGTAAAAGAACCTTCTGCTTTAACACCTGCCCCATTCTTAATTTTACTTTTCCCAAATTCAGGTTAGTACTTTGCAATTGCTTTAGGACACACAATCTGTACCTGTCGAACTGGAAAGATTCCTAAAATACTGGCTTCCCCCTAGCCCCTTATCTGCTACTACAGGGACAGTGACGCTAAATGAACTTTTGTTCATGTTTTTAAATAAAGAATAATGATCCCACCAGGCCCCAGTGTCACCTAGCAGGTGACCTTTTAGAGGGCCTACTTCATGAGCCAAAGTGATATAACATTATGACAGTGACCCACTGCTGGGGGGACAGGGAGTGCCTGCCGACACGTCCCGGGTTTCTATTTGAGGTAACAGAATTATTCTGGAATTAGATAACAGTGATGGTTGCACAACATAATGCATATACTAAACACCAAGGAACTTTACACTTCAAAATGGTGAATTTTATGTTATGTGAATTATATCTCAATAATAAAAAAGAAGAACTAAAAAAAAAAAGAGTCCAGTTTGCCCCTCCACAGGAAATCGGGCAGACAGGATGTTGGTGCCAAAGCAGGCTGTAACAAACAAGTCAGTAGGGGAAGCAATAACAAAAAATTAAAGATAAAAACAAACAAATAAATAAATAATAAAACTCCTGAAAAGTTTGTATCCCAAGAGGCACCTGTAGCCCTCCCATCCGCTAATGGGGGAAGGGGATTGCCGGGGGAATTTACATTTTAAACAAGAAAACAAAGTGATTTGATCCACCTGATCAACAGACCTGCCTTTCCAAACCACTGAATTATCTTTTTAAAATACCCTATTCTCATTCTAAAAAAGCGTCGTCTTAAATATGGTGACTCATTTTTTAAACTTATAAAGAGTCGATAAATGCTTTGTTTAGTAACAGAACCTTTTCAGTTCAGCCTCATCAGGATTATCAAAATTCTGAATTAATGATATACAAACCTGTAAGGATTAATTATGCTTCTTCTTTTTTTCTTTTTTAAATACAAGGGTTGGGCCACATGTCCTTGCGGTTTCATTCATTCATTCATTTATTTTTGTGAGGAAGATCACCCCTGAGCTAACATCCATGCTAATCCTCCTCTTTTTGCTGAGGAAGACCGGCTCTGAGCTAACATCTATTGCCAATCCTCCTTTTTCCCCGAAGCCCCAGTAGATAGTTGTATGTCATAGTTGCACATCCTTCTAGTTGCTGTATGTGGGACGAGGCCTCAGCATGGCCGGAGAAGCGGTGCGTCGGTGCGCGCCCGGAATCCGAACCCAGGCCCCCAGTAGCGGAGAGTGCGCACTTAACCGCTAAGCCACGGGGCCGGCCCTAATTATGCTTCTAAGAAATAGTGACAACTATTGGTCCCAATTGAATGGTTAAAATATCATTTGATGTCTCTGAATTAAAAACGATTTCTTCAGAAATCAATGAATTTCAAAACGTAAATAAAATCACTTAATATTCTAAAAAAGTCATTCTAAACAAAATATACACTGAGAACAGTTAATAGCCTTACTGACTTGTCTCTAACATTGGAAGGATTTGGTGGTTTTTACATGGGACAGCAGTTCCTGTCCACCACGTTAAGATCCCATAGGACAGTGAATGGCAGGAGTCCAGACCAGCCTGTAGAGCTGACGGGGACTGGGTTCTGGACCCAGAACACTCATTCAAGGCTGACATCAGATTTCCTAAACTACTAGGATAAGGTAAAGTAAACAGACTGGGGGTTGTAAAAATCACTACTCCTCCTAGAGGATTCTGCAGCCCTTTAATATACTAAAGTGTATTAAGAAACTCCTTTCTTCTGAGAGAGATGATGTTAGTCCACTAGCCCTCATCTGTAATTCCTAAATAATAAAAATTCAGAAAACCAAGATTTACTGTAACATATATGGTGGCAAAACCTTCCCTAAACGGACATGTCATTTATAGCCTTGATGTGTCTCACGTAGTGAATGTTCACCTACCTCTCCACAAAAATGTTCCTATGTGTGATGGGTGTGGGGGCCTAGATGTCACCGAGGGTCTGGTGATGGAAGGTATGGGACCACAGTACTCCACTAAGCCACAATTCTGATTTTTCAAATACATCTGGCCCTGAAAATTCTTGTCTGGGGCCTCTATACATGTAAACGCAGCACTTCCCAGACTTAATGGACCACATTTTGTTTTTCACTTCTTTAGGGAACCAAAATAGCACCACCATAACCCTATTCATTTAGTCTGCTTTCTTTTCTTGACAGATATTGGCTATTTTTCTGTCTATTAACTATCTCCCCCACTGGAGGGGAAGCTCCCGGAGCGCATGGACTATGGTTCACTGCTGTGTCCCTGGCACACGGCAGACATTTAAACAATCAATCGTCAAATGCCTGAGGAACATGTATTCACATGACAGTGAACACTAGTGTTCTGGGAAACATAGTTTGAAAAATGCTGCCCAGTATGAATTTCTTTACAAGACTTCTATACTTAAAAAAAAAAAAAAATTTTACAACATACAAGTTCATAAATAAATAACCAACCCATATTTCTGTGGTGGTAAACCCCGATAAAGCTGAAGAACCACCGTTCCGGGGAGACCCTGACTGTACCTGAAACTAGAACTCCAGGACTCGCCTAGAATAAGGCACTCTCTCAGATCTTTACACGTTCTAACGAGTTCCTTGCTGTTGGAAGTGGGGTAGGGAACAGCTTTTCAAGTGGGCATTTCATGCAGCAATTAAGAGTCTCCTTACTCACCACCAGATTCCAGAGCGAAGTCCACCATGCCAGTCTTGTCTTGGGAATACAGCTTCAGAGCGTTGTTCACAATGATGCGTGCTTGCTGGATGGAGCAGGCACAGAAGCAGAAGACCAGACACCAGAAGAGGGGAGAAAGACAGGTGTTAATGACAAACAAAGGCCACATTTCTTTTTTTTTTTTTT